GGCCAGGTGCAGCAAACAGTTTCAAAGCTTTGGGTATGGCAATGGGAAAGGATGATTCAGTTCAGCCACTGGATTAAGTGACGTTCTAACTGTAAATCGTTTTTAAAAAATCGATAGAAATCATATCAATACTCCGTACCGACAGGTCATCTTATTTATAAGAAAGCTGTTACTTAAAAACAAGATCAGCTTGAGGATGGACTTGGCAAATAAAAGGGAAATGTCATTTGGAAAGCTTTCATTCTAATGCTAGAACAAGTGAATCCATTAAGTGAATTAAAAGTCTCATAAATATATATTTTTAAAAGTCAAAATAGTTCCTTCCGCGCCTGTAAAATAGCATCACCAGTTATTATTTCCATCCTGTGAAATATTACTCCGTCTTTACTAAATGTAGCTGGTTTCAAACCGTCATATTAATCAGTCAAAGCGTTCCTACGTTTCTTCTAAAGTTCAGGGAAATGTCTTTTTTGCCTTATTTCAGTTTAGGGCAAGTCTTTCTGAAAAGCATGACTTTCGTTTCTTTCCCCGCTTACTCAAGGCCAGTTAACACTTCGCATGTGTTAATAATAATTTTCACCACTTGTACAAAAGAGAAAACAAAACACCACTTTGGGCATCGGAAGATTGACCATTCTGATTGGGTGTGTTCTATGATCTCCCAACGAGTTTCAGCACAAAAAAATAGAGTTAGTTTTCTGTTAAAGGATGTTTGCATTGTGAGGGAGTGGGATTGGCTAGAGAAAAATGTTACGATTTCATCTGTAATGTAGTCCTTACTGTCGAAGAAAGAACAGAACAGCAAACGAGGGACTGGTAATTCGGACACCCCAGAAGCGCATTGAGGAACAAGCCTTGAGACAAATGGAAACGCAAAGTGATTAGGCCGTACATTTTCCACACTAGTGATTTATGGCGTCACTCAGCCATTGTAATGACAGAAAAGCTTGTCTTTATTTGTAAATGACGCATAGTGTCCTGCTGTTAGCCATCAATATGGAAATAGTTTGAAACGCCAGCTGTGGTTCTTTTTTTTTTTTTTTTTTTTTTTTACAAATCTAGCTGAATCCTCTCCAAACATATTGCCTTCCAGTATGTATAGGAATCCTTCCCATTGTTTCAGGCACTGTGGCTTGGGATGATGGGAGCTGTAGTCCAAAATACAAGTTAGAGAGGAATAGTTAACAAGGAATTAGGTCCTAAAACTTGAGTTCCATTGGTCTACGCTGATGTAAGACTGGGTTTTTGCTGGTCAGCCAATTGCCAAGTAACTTGGCACTACATCATCCCATTAATTCATAATTCTATTTACTTGTTTGGGCATAGCATGTTATAGAACTTGTGTTTAGATAAACCAATGTTAGAAAATAGTGCAGACCCAGACTAAATTAACAATCCACCTCTGTCAGCTTTACTTAAAAGGTCAGGATATCTATCATTCACAGACATTGATGAGCTCAGGATCCTGGAGAGGGAGTAGTCCCATCTCTATCACCCTGTATTAATGACCGGTTGTGGCTCTTTCCCCGTTTACATACAACGCTCTTCATTCAACTTCCACGTTTGCTTTTTTGTATATAATACCTGGGCGCTAGCTTTTGTTATTAGCAATGAATAGACGAGAAGGAGGAGACATCTACATCATATGATCCCTGGGTTGGTTAATGGCCGCAATAAAATTATCTATTATCTGTTCCTTGAACCAGTCAATGTTGGGTAGAGAACGCAGTTCTAGCCACTACACTGGGGGGGATGTGCAAAAGTTTCCATACTTTTCTATGGAATCGGCTTCTATTGAGTTGCTCTTGACGCAGGTTTACTTAGGAAGGAGGTTAAGCTGTTTGCCTGTTCTAAATGAAACTCAACGCAGGCTTTAGGATGCCCAAAGAATCAACACCATTGATTTCAATGAAGGCGATGAAAATCTACTTTATTCTCGGATTTGGCGTTAGGAAAATGGGCTCTAATTTCTAGCTCAGTTCAAAAGGCAGAAATCGCTTTCGTGCGAAACGAAGTGTGAGTGGAGCTTAGCTTTACCCCAGTTCAGGCGTGGGATCCCTCAGCCATCCCAAAGTATGGTAATAATAATTAATTTTTCTTTCCATTACTGCTTGCAGGACCCACCAAACACAGACATAATTAAGGTACTTAATTCGGTTTATAGAAAAAGCCGAAATTTCTTCTGGGAAGAAGTCAGATGTACGGGATTCTACAAATCATCCTGTACATCCAGATAAATATCTTAAGTTTCCTCTGACTTCTCAAAGAAACAGAGAGATCGGATAGAGGATCTCTATCTAGATAGACTAGAATGGGCTCCGGACTTACAGGTTTAGTTTTCTTGAAGGTTTAGCCTCACACAGAACCTCTTTAGGGATGGAAAACGGTCCAGAAAGCTCCACTGGCCAGAAGAACACCCTAGCTCAGTGGTTACCAACTGGTGGTCCGTGGACCACTGATGGTCCATGAGAAAATTGAGGTGGTCCACAGAAAAACTATTTGCATTTTTTATATTTCACTAAATAATATTTATCTTTAAAAAAAAACCATATTAGCGGTCAACTGGATTTAAAATTATGAATTTAGTGGTCCCTGAGATCCAAAAGGTTGGTGACCCCTGCCCTAGCTGACTCAACTTTCCCTTTTTTCCTGCATAAATTTTAGATAAAATCTTGCTTTTCTCGTCCGCTGCGCCCAGCCGTGAACTTCCACAGATTTTCCCGTGTTTTACCTCTAACTAATCGGCCGGGGACAGAAACCCGGACCAGGTTCGCTTGCGCCAAAACTGGACGCCGGCTTCTTTGGGAATATCTTGCTTCCGTGAGTTTTTGACAAACTCTAAGTCGGGACACAAAGCAGACACGTGGCGCCGTGTGTGGTCGGCCTCGCCGTCGCCACTGGGCCAGTGCTACAAACTCAGAACGGCTGCATCCCTCAAAGGCCAGGACTGAATTCTGAGCTAACAGCTGTGTGGGGTTTCTCTCTGCCCACCCCCACCCCCGCCGCCTCCCTGTTGTAACAGTTCGGAATCTCGGGGCAGTTACACACACAAAGATGCACAGTACAAAGGAATATACGGATAAAGAAAAAATAGCCTTATGCAAAATGTAGATTAAAAAAAAACTAGTCACCATATTCCTGTTTCTTTTTAAAGTAAGACCCGTGTCCCGGTTGCATACGATCCTGAAAATTATTCCCAACATTAAGCAGCTGGAGAGCAGCGTTTTCAGAACGTCCAGCGTTCTGATCGTTTCAAATGTGAATCGATCGATCGTTTCCTCGGATCTTGAAGGCGCTTTGTTGGGAAATCTGTATGAATGTCAAGTATGTCAAGAAAGGCCATCATCGATCGGGAGGAAGGCTGGGAATCCAGAACGAAGGCGACGCCCCCCACCACGCCACCCCACATTACAAGGCAAAACCCAACAAAACGACTTATACGCCGCCGCCGCATTTTGTTCGGCTTCCAAGTGGGGCGGATGAAAATGGAGCGGGCAAGAGGGGGCGTTTGGATCCTTCTCCGGCAGCTGCTGTTTGTCCGAGACTAAAAAAACGGGCCTGCCTCGAGGGGCGAAGTACTTCAGCTCAAGCTGAAGAGCCTCGGGGGACAGCTTTCTCCTCGGACCTGAAGCGCCCGCTTCTCGCTCCCGTGGGAGCTAAGAGCGAAATGAATGAGAAGGGCTCAGCTGAAGGCCGTGCCCGCACGTCTCAATCTGTTGACGGCTGGTTATTATTATTTTAAGGAATGCCACAAATCAGCTCGGCTCTAGGCAGCAGGATTTGCATCTGGACCATCTAGAGTCGACTCTTCCTGATGGGCGATGCTTCTTTTCCTCCTAAGAAATCCCCCCCCCGCCCAGATGAGGGAAGTCTCCTCCAATTCCCTCCCAAGGGAATTTATTTCCAGTGCGCAGCTCTGATCCTAAAGTAATGCGCAAATAAGAATTTCGGGGGTTTAAAAGTAACCCGCTTCACAAGTTGGAGCCATGTGTGAATTGTGGTCACGAGTTTGTCACACGGTCTGGAAGTAACAGAGATAAACAGGAAAGTTAACGAGGATTGCGGAAAGCGAGAAGGATGGTTTTGCAGAAATGCAGCCGGATCGCTCGAGGTTCGGGATCAAGAGGAACAGCGAGAGAACTTGGAAAGACGGCAGAAGCGCTTACGGGAGATTTTCCCCAAACATCTATGTTTTGAATTTCTGGAGATTCCCAAAAGACACCGGGGGGGGGGGGTACTGTTGGTTTTTGGTTCATCGAAAGCGCAGCAGAGAGCCATCCGTTATTTTGGAGGGGGCTCAGATTTGACCCCGGCTATTAGTGACCCGTCTCGCCAAGAGGAAAGATGGCGTGCTGCGAGCCGGGCTTGCCCCCCCCCCCCAATAAAATAAAATAAAATAAAATCCGAAGCGCTGCACCGGGCTTATCAAAAGCAAGCCCGGCGCAACCAACAGACCGAGGGGGAGGGAAGTGGAGCGCGAGGGCGCGCGAAGGGGAGGGGGGCTTCAAACACTCCTCAGCCGAGGAGCGCGAGCGGCGGGTCTGTTTTGCGCGCGCCAAGACACGTGACGCGCTGTCCGCGCTATAAAAGCTCCTGGCGCTCGCCTCGGCGGCTCAGTGCTTGCGCGACGTTCCGGCCGGCGGGAGCTTCGCGCAAAGGCGGTGGCTTTCCCCACACTTTCTGTCCCGTCCCCCCCTCTCACAATCCTTTCGCTCCTTCCCTATCCCTCTTCCCCGCCCGGGGCCACCCCTGGCCCAGTCCCCTGCCCTCCCGCCACTCCTCCTCCCGCCGCCCCCAACCCCAGTTGCCTTGCCCTCCTGAGGGAAGAGAAACTGCAGGGAGCGCCTGTTGCTCTCGGCCCGGCCGCGGGGAGCGAGGGCGCCTCCTCCTCCTCCTCGGGCTCCTCCCTCGCTCCGCCGCTAGGGGGTGGCCTAGCCGAGCAGCCCGACCCGGAGGCAGAAGCAGTCGGCCGGAGCAGTGGCGGCGGTGGCACCACCATCATGACCCTGGGCTGCAGCAGCGGGAGCAGCCGCCCCTGTGGCTTGCTGGCGGCCCCCTCACCGGAGGAGGATGAGGAGGACGAGTCGTTGTCCGACGTGGAGGATGCCGACATCGACGTGGTAGGGCCCCCTCACGAGCAGACCAAGTTTAGCGAGGAAGAGGAGGAGGAGGAGGAAGAGGAAGACGACGATGATTTGCGCCTCCTCCCCAAACAGGCGCTGCGGGTGAGGCTGTCCCCAGTCCAGCGAGGCCCGGAGGCCACGCTGGGCGACAATCACATCGTTGCAGCGGCTCCGGCGGGGTCGGCGGCCGGCCCGGCGTCTGCCTCGTCCTCGTCCTCGTCCTCCTCCTCGCCGTCCAGCGGCGCTTCAGGAGCCGGCAAAAACCCCCTGGTGAAGCCGCCCTACTCCTACATTGCCCTCATCACCATGGCCATCTTGCAGAGCCCCAAGAAGCGGCTAACGCTGAGCGAGATCTGCGAGTTCATCAGCGGCCGCTTCCCATACTACCGCGAGAAGTTCCCGGCCTGGCAGAACTCCATCCGCCACAACCTGTCGCTCAACGACTGCTTCGTCAAGATCCCCCGCGAGCCGGGCAACCCGGGCAAGGGCAACTACTGGACTCTGGACCCGGAGTCCGCCGATATGTTCGACAACGGCTCCTTCCTGCGCCGGAGGAAACGCTTCAAAAGGCAGCAGCAGCAGCTCCACCCTCAGCCGCCGGAGCTCCTCTTGCGCGCCGCGGCCGTCGCTGCCGACCCAGCGACTTTCCTGCCGGGCTTCGCCTACGGACCTTATGGTTACAACTACGGGCTGCAGCTGCAGAGTTTCCACCATCACCACCATCATCACCACCACCCGGTTGCCCCAGGCGGAGGGACGGCGGGGACGTTTTCTTTCCAGACTTCCTCCTGCACCCTCCCTGCGCCGCCCGGCCCCGGGGCCACGGCGACCGCCCCGTCCGTCTTCTCCAGCGGACTCTCCTCTTTCCTGGGTAGCGATCTAAGTTGCAGGAAAGCTTTCTACCCGGCGGGGCAGCTTAGCCCTACCGCCTCCCTCCTGCAGAGCCTCAAGACGGACCAGGGAACGGGCAACAGGCCTTCTTTTTCCATAGACAATATCATTGGAAGCGGTGGCGGCGCGGCCCCTCCGCCTTCCAGTAGCTCCGCGGTCAGCGCTACAGATTCGCCCTTCCCGGCGGGCCATGCTGGGAGCCAAGCGCAGGTCCTGGCTATGTTGTCTCCAGCTCTGACTCCCTTACCGAACCATTTGAGCCTCACCCACGAAGCACTCCTGCAATCGGGACAAAACTTTTCCAGTAAACTTACAAACCTCAGCAATTGTTCTTTTTAAAGGCAGCCACAATGGCCCCCCTTCCCAATCAACATTCCCCCTCCTATCTATCTCCCTCTATTGTCCTCCCATTGTGTTTTGAAAGGTAGGAACTTTTTTTTGGTGGCATCTGACATCTGGATCGTTTTGTGCGTGCGCGCGTATCTCCTCTGGGGTTGTGGTTTAGCAAATGGCGGGGTATGTGAGTAGGGGGAGAGAAATTGTTGAGCCAAAAGACCTATTTAAAATTAGTCTTTCTTATAAAATGATTTCTGGCAGCTTGGAAAGAAAAAAAAGAAAAAGTGAAATCATTTAATTAAGGCTGCAGTCCTAAACTGTCCAGGTGGTGCTATTTTAGTTGGATTTATTGGAATGGCCTTCCAAGTATGGATCCATTAGCAGGTCGGTACTTCTGGGGTATAACTGCCTTATACTCTGTAAAGTTACTCCATTCAATTTAAATCTTTAATGCAGACTTCCCAGATAGTTGGTTTGAAGCCGGGCTTGTTCCAAGGGCTTAACTTTAAACTAATAGTGGTGGGGGTTAATTCATGCTTTTGGGGGGCAAATCCATTGCATTCTGTTTGTGCTCCCAGGTGTGCCTCCTTGGGTGTGTGTATGGGGGGTGAGAGGCACTTGTGAGACTTTGCATTTAAACAGTTTCCCTGAATAGTTCTGATGTCTGTATTTTCCCATTTTTTGAATGAAGTTTAAAAAAAAATCCTCTTGCGTATCCTTAATAGTTCAATGTTTCCTAAAAGTGTATAAATCAATTTATGTTTTAAGTGAGATTTGAAATACATATCACTAAAAATCAGGCCATATCAGCAAATCCTCTGTTATCAAAACTCCCACCTCCTCTCCACTCTCCTTCAGTGTGTGTGTGCACGCATATGTGTGTGTATGTATGTGTGTTCAGTGTACCGGGATTCATTGGCATGTATACATTGTGCACCAGAGCTATTTTGCTCTCTTCCCACTAGTGTTTCCCTCCTATTTTATTGGAAGAATTGTGAATGATTAGATGTGGAAAAGGCAACACATTTTTTTTTGTCCACCTCTGGTGTAAATTAATAAATGTCTGTGATTTCTCTTAAAAGGAACCCAGCGGGTCTTGCTATTTGCTTTTGTAATTTTTTAAACAAATGTTGTGTTAGTAGTATTAGATCTTAGAAAGTGAAAAAGATCTGCAGAGTGGATGAATTTATTTAGATATTGTTAAAAGCTAAGGGAAAGCAATGCCTTCATTTGCAGTTAGCCAGGGCAAACCATTCTCAAAATCTAAGTTCAGAGACTCCACCGCCTGGACCCCCAAGAGGCTTCCTTCTGAGCAGAAGTACATATAAAATTGGCTTACTAGACTACAGACAAAAATTAAAGTCAGGGTTCAGCTACTGTTGAGCAGAAATGTAATCTATAAAACAAATGTTTCCCATTAAGTACAACAGGATAAAATGAGTCAGGTAAATATTTGTAGCTTACTAATGAAATGTGGGTTTGCCATAACTTTTCCTTCCTTGCCTTTTTTAATGAACTCTAAAATTAGTTTATTGCTACCGTCCCTTCTATTTCTTTTAAAGTCGTACTTTTGGGTTGTAAACCTAAAATATTGTTTTTATTATAAGGAGTTATGCATTATTTTTACTCGCGACATTACATGTGGCAATTATGAAGAGCGTTCAAAGACTTCAGTTAGTTCAGAACGCAGCCGCGGGAGCGATTGTGGGTGCACCTAGGTACACCCACGTTACACCTATCCCCCCCGAGCTCCACTTGCTGCCCATTGGTCTCCGGACATGCTTCAAGGTGCTAGTCGTTACTTTTAAAGCCCTGCATGGCATCGGACCTGGTTACCTGAGAGACCGCTTCCTGCCAATTACCTCCCAAAGACCGATTCGATCGCACAGACTAGGCCTTCTCCGGATTCCATCTGCCAGCCAATGCCCCCCCCCCCCTCTCTGTTGCAGCTCCAGCCCTCTGGATCTCCTCCCCTGTTGAGATCCGGACCCTTACTACCCTCCCGGCCTTCCGCAATGCTATTAAGTCCTGGCTGTTCCGGCAAGCCTGGGGCTGTTGAAGTATCCAGCCCCACTTTAATTGTGAATGTTGTGGTATTTTATATTTTGTATTGTCTTATTTATCCCCCTTCCCTTTTTTATTGTAAGCCGCCTGGAGTGGGCGGCATACAAAACTAATAAACTAAACTAAACTAAACTAAACAAAACTAAACAAAACTAAACTAATTATGTTCTTGTTTTCCAAAATTACTTGAAATTCCCAGGGAGTTAATAGAGGAAAATTATATCCCCCACTCCCCTTTTTGTTATAATTGGAAATGTTGACATACGAAAAGGGGAGTGGAGGTGGAGGACGAAAAATGTAAGTTTGTTCTTTCTGAACCGAAAAGGTTGAAGTGACCATTTGAAACCCGAGATCTCTGCCTAAATTCGTGAGTGAAAAAGGTACAAAATAAACAAACTCTCTTTCTTAGCCAGCCCATGCCCTGAAATCTCTTTATATTTTGGCCAAATCTGAAAACGTCAGGCTTTGTTTGAAACAAAATGCTCCCCTAATCTCTCAGGCAGCATGTCTTGTCAGGTTTTTAAAAATCATTATTATTGAATGACCCTGAATAAGTGAATAAACCAACCCACTCACCCCTCCCTCTAATTTAAAATATTCATTTACTGGCTTTTTTGTGGCTCTAATAGATTCTCCCCTGGAGAAAGGCCTGTGAAGGCAGAGGTAAATGAGCGGGAGTTGGTGGGTGGGTGGGTGGCTTTTTACGGGGGGGGGGAAAAGAAAATTACAGAAGAGAGACGATTCTTGTAGCATTTTCCATCTCTCTCTCAATGCAGAACCGACCCCCTCCTCACCAGCCTTCCCGAGTTTGTTGATGTTGCTCCTTGAAAAGAGTCTAGCCCTCCCTGCTGGCCCAGCGAGGGGACTTGCGTCCCCCCAGCCCACATTTGCTTTTGAAAAGGGATCCCCTGTCCTTGCCTTTCATGTCCAGTCCCCACAAAGAGGCTACAAGGCAAGACACGGGAAAGGTGGGGAGGGGAAGAAAAGAGAGGCGGCGGAGGCAAAATGAATCTATTTTCCAGATTGCTGAGCACATGGTTACAAATGGAAAGAGCTTTGGGATTTTTTTCTGTTGATCTGGGGAGGGGGCGCTTCTTTCACTCTTTCTCTCTGTGTGTCCCCCAAAATCTATCCAAATTGTTAAACTATACTATGCCAAACACTGCCCGCGGAGAGTTCTTGGGCATCCATTTCCAGCTCCAGCTGTTAGTTGACCGTCTGGAAAACTGGAGAAGCAAACAGCTCTGAAGATTTTTTAAAAATTTCTTTCCTTTGTGTGTGTGTGCCTGAGACTAGGGGCTGTGAAAAGATGGAGTAAGAATAAGAAAGCCGTCAGCACAGCACCCCATTTGGGAGAGAAAGCAAGAGTAAACGCAGGCTGGTATGGAAATGCAGCTAGGATTCATCAACCGGGTAAAATTAATTCCAAGCCCAATACTAATTTACGTAGATTTATTTTCTTGAGGGAAAACAAGAAAAGCGGTGAGATGTCCGCTGAAGTTCTTGGCTGTCTGCTCTTCGATTAACGCGATGTTAACGGCCTAAATTTTCAAATAAACCGCATTGACTAGCGGGTCATGGTTGTGGTAATCTTGGAAACAAAATCGGCATAAACCTACGAAAAGGATGGGGGAGGGTCGGCGCAATCCTAGTCATATTTACGCGGTCTCCCCGATTCGCCCCAGACGAGGCCTGCGATTGCAGCGTCCTCAAAGGTGTCGCGATTTGTTCCCATTACAATTTCAATACTCATTTCCGGCTGAACCTGCCGCTGTTTCACGTAGAATGGGAATTGCTTTCCGATCTTTTCTGCCCGAATTTCGGAAGTGTTTCCACAGACCACAGATTTAGCGTGGATAGAGGCTACACGGTGCACGGCCGCATTTGAATGGGAGCTCTCCCCAGTTTCTCCCCAGCTCTCCCCAGCTCTCCCCAGTTTCTCCAGCTCTCCCAGTTGGGAGAGCTGGAGAAACTAAAGCTCGCCGTCTCTTTCAAATATAGTTCCAGGGCTAAAGGTTAGGGAGTCTAAAGCTGCATATTTCCGAGCGCGTAGCTTCATAAGCGCGGTTGTAAAGTAGATAGGCTGGAAAGCGGATTGCACCCTGAAATCCTGGCGCGTATCTCTAGCAAACTAACACACCATGAATGCCTCTGGCTTCTCGTTGCCTTCTCCTTTCTGCTTGAAAGGAACGCGTCGAATTGCCTTCTAGAAAAGCTAGGCTCACTTGGGATCTTGAGACCATACAGTTTTTATCTAGAGATAGAATGGGGTTGATCTCGCCCCTCCCCCCGCTTTAATGTTCCCAAGCAACTTAGTAAGGCTGTTGGATTCATCGCCTTCAGGTGGAATCGGATCGCAATCCAAAGGTAGTCCGAAGGGTCTGTAATATTTTTCCCTGCTGGATTTCAGTTTTTAACCGCCTCCTCAACGCCTCTTTTTTAATGTGGGAGCTGCTGAGTCAGCCCCCCCCCCAAAGGACTCTGAGGATCTTATTCCTCCCTGAAGCTGGGCCTTGTCTACCAAAGCTCCAGTGAGTGGCGTGCTTCTAATGCCCCCCCCTTTTTTTAAGTGAGAAAAAAGGACATCTGGAATTTGTCATTGTGGAGGCTATCGTTAGCAGCCCGTTTTCCCTGGGGCAGAATGAGGAAATCATTTTGTGAAGGACTGACGCGTGTCTTGACTCTTGCGTGATGAGCTCCCACTCCCTTCTTCATTTTCCCCTCAGTGGTTCAACTCAAGTATCGCACCGGTCTCTGCAGCCAGGGAGTCCCGTTGAACTGAACAGAATACCTTCCCAGTGAGGGGACTTGTCCAGTGAGAGAAAGAGCTTTGCATCTCTCCTGTGCAAACAATCATAGCTTGGCATTTATAAGGAAGAGTGGAAGGAAACTATGTGCCCCCTCCCCCTCTTACAAACTGGTTTTGAACTCCTCCTCCGTCTGAACATAAGCCAGGACAGAATGCTTGGGTGGACGGACGGGGCTGATTTTCCTAGGAGCCCTCAGATAATGCCATCTGCCCGAAAAATTGTGGGGCTTTTTGTGGAGCTTGGGTTCACCTTGGAGGCTTGAGGTGAGAATGATAGAAAATGGAGCTCCCTTTTGTACTTCTAGCAAGAGGCGATGCACCCTTAGGGAGACGGTTGGAAAGCATTTTGAACAAGAAAGTTCGCTTCGTTTGAGAACCTGGTCCCATTACTGCTCCACCTCCATCTTCCAGAAGTGTTTCCCCAACCCCGTGAAGTGATTGATCTGTAGCCTCTAAAGCAAAGCAAAACAAAACAAAACAAAAAGAAGTCTGATTTTCACCTGCTTGGCCTCAGAGGACCCAGACCTTTGGGACCCGTCACTTCGTTCCTAGTAAGTCTTGAACCAAAGTCAGATTGCAGTTTTGTCGGAAATTAGATAGGCCCCAGCTGGGTTTGCAGGACAAGGTGAAGTATAAATTGACCAACCACGTTTTCCAAATAACAGGATACAAACTAACTTGCAGGTTCAATGTCTGGGGCAAACCATGGGGAAAAATATATTGAACAAACTAGTATTTAATTAACCAAGGATTTAATTCGCTCAGCAAGCCAGATTGAAATGAACCTCATTCCCATTTCCGCGTGGTGGAGTGTAATCTGAGTCAATCAGGTGCTCTCCAAATGTCTGGGGTTGTAGATTCCCTCCTTTGCCGGCTAGAAGATCATTGGGCTGAAAGGCTTTGTAGCCCAAACCATCTGGAAAGGACCCGATTGGGGAAGGCAGCATGGTCTACCACCATTGGTGTGTATTAGATATTATTATTTTCAGAGGTTTTCTCTCTCTTTCTGTCTTGTCGCTTCTGATTTATCTTTGTTCAGATAAATTGCAGCTTTTTCAGCTCTTTTGCTTTATAGAAAAAAATAATACCAAGCAGCCCAATTTAGCCGAATAGGAAAGATAGATTCGAGATTTGTACAGTGAGAACTCGAAAGATCGAAGAGAAGGGAAAGGAATCGCTTTGGTGGAAGCGTCCAGCGCCCTCCCGAA